GACTGACAATGGACAAGCTGTCCGGCGTCCAGCTAATGTCCGAGTCAGGGAATTCAAGGTCCGCCAACAGACCGCCGGTGTTGTGCAGTAGTTTTATAGGTCGTTTGAGGGAGTCATAAGCCAGCAATTCGTCCTCGTCGATAGAGATGAAACCACGTACACTGCCAGGCCGCCTGGCCGGTGAGGTCCCATTACTGCTAGCGGTGCCAAAGAGGCGGCGAGTCAAAAAGTCATTCAGGTCGCTGGCTGCATTGGACATCTTCAGATCGTCAAAGTGGAAGGCGTCCTCATCCTCCTCGTCGCTTAAGTAGATAGTGTCAGTGCGAGCGCTGAACTGGTCAAAATCTGGCTGCTTTCCGGCGCGAGCACTGACTGCTGCAGTTGAAAGTGCAGATGAGAACCGCTCTAGGGAGCGACAACGCCTCAGCCTGGTGCCTACTTTGGGTCTAGACGTGGAGGAAGAGGAGTAATGCATCACGGTGGGCATTGATTCAACACTGGTTTTGTAGCCACTAGACGCCCTGCGACCACGACCACTTGAGGGTAGTAAAAAGGGCAGGCAGGTGACGGTCACATCATCGTCCTCGCTGGTCTGTTTAGGTGACTGCACATGCTGCAGGATGTCGTGGTCATCCGGCTTCCAGACGCGAGTCGCGCGCCACTTGGCCCTGGATCGCAACGGAGCGCGAATTGCGTCAAAATACACCAGTTCATTAGGCTAAAAAGCACATATAAAAATTTGTGGAAAAAAAGTTGGTAAGAGCTGCGGAGGTCAACGAGAAAACGAAATGGGCGATAGTGATACCAGGGCCGTTCGTGCAGCGGCAGCATAACTGCATGAACCAACGACGCAATTAATTGTGTACGGCGAATATCAGGAGAGACGGCACGCAGCCGACCGACTAGCGAGCTACGAGCGTCAGAATTGAAAATAAACAGCCTCCTCCCCCCTCCTGAAGTCAAGCCAAAGAACGCAGTGTGAACGGGCAAACCTAAGATTACTCCGACATCATTGTTCAATACTGTAAAAAATATCAGCGAGAATCTTATCAACAAAAATAACCCTAGTAACAACATTCCATATAAATGCCCATATTTCTAGTCTGCCTCTCCTACTAAGTCCCGAATCGTATTGGACCTAGCTCGTAGAAGCATACGACACGATGGTTATATTTTTGTATTATACCAAAAACAGTAATTTTTATGATGTTGCTGTATACGGTCGTCCCGTTTTCCTTTTCTGTGGCGTACACTGCCGCCGAATCAATAAATTAGGTGATTCCACTTTCTACTGCATCATTTTCGGGATGGATGGTCAAAGGCTGGTTGAACACCACTATAGTTCTAAAAAAATAGACCACCGAGATGGAAAATCAGATGCGAAAAGAAAGTGAACAGCAACCATGCCAGCACGGACTGTAGTGACCCAACTGCAAGTGCACGCTCACTCGCGGCCGCTAGCAAGTTTGCAAGCGCTAGTGTCGGCCTGCCCTGGTTTGGCCAATCACCTTCAAGACCGACTAATGCAGGACCTCGCTATGACGAACGCCACGCTCACACACTTTGGACGCGGCCCTTTCGCGTCGGTCGTGCACACGTCCGACTGTCAACTGCCTCTAACCTATTCTCCACGAGCTCTGTACAGAATATACTATTCCTCCCATTTGATATCTCACTTCTTATCTTCCCACGAGGAATCGAGTCTGAAGGCCGCAGTGGTAAGGGTTTTACCTATTAACATAAGCCAAAGCGATAAGATTTCAGGAGGTGGGGGCGGTTAAAATTCAGTCTTACCACTAGAAGCCTAGTAAGCAGCGCTAATACATTTATTCTTACACGGAGTTAACGGCTCCTTATGATTTCTTTCAGGGACAAGAATAAAGTATTTGGAATAGAGCTCAAGTACGAAAGAGGACAAAAATATCTGCAAAAATGAACCTACGCATAGGTTTGCTCTTGAGCTAACACCAACGCTTGTGACGTGTGTAAACTATCTAACCCGATCAATGCCCAATCAGACCTGGCGGCAACTCCTTGACGAAGATCGTTCTGTGGATGAGCCCTCAGGCAAGCAAGGTCTTTTTGACGTTTTTATAGTTCAAGTATAGACCGCCAGAGGCATAAAAGAGGGTAACCGGATTAACTTTATGCCGCAGACATTGCAACAGACGGACAAACACACTCAATTGCAAACGCCGGACGTCTTGCGACCAAATTCTAACGCTGGATCACGTTTACCGTCCTAATTTACGAGGTATACAGACGCAAAGGCCGTAACATTAATTTGATATGCGCTCACGATAGTCATTCGTGATGGTAGACATCTCCTCCTCCTCACCAATAAGAATAAACAACGGAAGGACTGCTTGCCAAAAATTTTTTGCTTCTAAACGCTGACGGACAGTTCAGCTGTTGCAGTAGCGGTATGCGCATAACTGCGTTTCTGGCGAAACAGACTTTGACGGCATTCGTCTTCCCTCTTCTGCGTTTCCTCTGATGAACGTGGATTCAGTCATTGACAGAGCTAAGTAATTTTTAGTCGCGTACCTTACACAACCTTACACTCCACACGTACTAGGCCTTGTTCGGCGAAGGAGAGGGAGAGTCGCGTCTAACTCCTATCATAGCAGTGAGAAAGGACATACAGACCAGCATAAGAAGGTAGTGCACTTTGACCCTCAGCAGTGAGAAGGTCGAGTTATCAAGCCAGTTGGAAATCTTTCAAACTCTGTTTCGAACGCATCGGACCTATCATAACGAGGAATATACTGAAATGCCAAGAGGAAGGATACTACAGTGACGGTCCTACTTTAGCTTCTCTCTCGTATGCCACAACAGCCAATTTCAGC